TTTCTCTCTCATCAAAACTGTATATGTTCATCAGTGGTTACAGTCTATATCAAGCAGGGACCCGTGAAGGCTGCATCCTCCGAAGGCCGTATTTGAAGGCCGGTTGGCCGTATTTGAAGGCCGATTGTGTCACAGCGGCGCGATGAAGGACGTCAAAGGCTGCACCCTCCGAAGGTCGCATTTGAAGGCCGGTTGTGTCATCGCCGCGCGATGAAGGCTGTCCCAATTCAATTATGCATCCTCCGAAGGCCGTATTTGAAGGCCGGTTGCGTCACCGTGGCACGACGAAGGCTACCCTGATTCAAAAGCGACGCCAAATGCACCCTTCGTTTCCCCGTGAAAGAGAGGATCCTAAGCGGCCTATCCTACCCCATAAAGGGGCTTTCACACAGGACGCGGAATGCGCTGCGCTGGCCGCTGGGTTCAGCATTGCCCTTCAGATACAACGTGATTTGCGCTGCGCTATGCCAGAGCAAAGTAGGTGGAGTTTTCAAAAACTTTAAGCGGGAGTTCTACACGTCAGTATAGTATAATAACGTTAGTTATTTTGATTGTTGTTCCTCCTTTCGGTCAGCAGTAAACTATGTATCTGTCCCGTGCACAGTGCTAGCCGTTCATCCATTTTGATTTCCGTGTTTGTTTGGATGTCCCGTTTCTATTGGCCGCGCTGGTAATCGTCACAGAGCGCAGCGGCAAAAGTTGAACTATTAGGCTTGTTTGAGATGAGCAAAATCTGCGCAGAACCGATCACCGGTGATCAGCGCGAGATGCATGCCGGTTAGAAATGTGTCCGAGTGCGGTCCGCCTTGCTCTTATGTCATGCTGACGTATGTCAAAAAACTCTCGCGACCGCAAGACGCACGTGTCGGATTCTGCAGTCGCGCGCAGTTGCTCTCCACCGACTGCGCTGATCGGAAGCATGATGGGAAACGACTTGCTGACGACACAGCTTAATGCTCATTGGTTTAAACACCCGTGATGTATTGTTCTCTTTTAAAATGTTTGATTTTAAAACTCTGATATCATGTTTTATGTGTATAAATTATGTGTGGATATTCCCAAACTCTCTGACAGTGCGATCTATGTGATGTAATTATTATTATTATAAATGTTTTTTAAAAACACATATCTGTATTAAAGAAAAAATTATTGATAAACACGTAGGGCTATTTAAAATGGAAATTAAATAAGTACTTTGGGTGTCTTGTTGTTCATTATATTTATTTTCATATAAAAGCAACAAAACTTAAATAACATCCAGTTTATTAGCAACACCGTGCACGGGCGTGAATCCCGTGAATCCCGCGATATCCCCCTTTGATCTCACAGGTGTCTGATCCACTGCGAGAAGAGAGAACTGTCCGGCTTGCCTGCGCTTTTTTCACTCCTCCTCTCACTGCATCCGCCTACTCTCGACTACATTTCAGGCAAGGCAAGGCGCATCTCATTTTGAACTTTGACCGCGGCGTGCGCGCGAGCTGTGCACCGCTGCGCTTGCACTTTGGTCGACGCAGCAACAAAACGTCTTCGCGCGGCGCAAGCCATTGAAATGAAGGTTTCATAGCGCAGCGCAGCGCATTCCGCGTCCTGTGTGAAAGGCCCATAAGTCATTGCGCTGGTGACGACAGCATTTAAAAAAAAAAAATTTTAAAGGGCGGCCGAGAGTTCGGTGGTGGACGGCAAATTCACATGAATGTAAAAGTATTATGTTTTTATTTACTCAAATAGCTAGAGAAACCAGAGTTAAAAGCCACAAGTTTTTTTTTCTTATTCATCTTAACTCATTCGTCACCATTGCGTACTGGCTTCATTTGTCATGTGGAAACGCGAAAACGAAAAAATTAATTTCTGTACATTATTTCTTTATTATTCATCATTTTTTAATTATTTTATGCAACTTTAAATGTGTAAATAAAATAAAATTCATGGCTCTGGACATTGTTTATTTTTGTAATGGTATCTGAGTGTTTGCAAGGTGGATACATTTAAACTATATACTTTTGTGTAGTTTAATGTAAAACAATGCGTAGTGTTGCTGTCCTGTGAGGGAAAAAAGTAGGCTACTTCACATTTGTACGTGAATACTTAACGAAGTATGAAGTAAAGTTCCTTACATTCCCCCACTGGTTATTTTGAAAATTAAAAGTAACAAAATGTAGGTCTATTGTCACAATATTAACAAATTGTTGCTAACTACAGCTGCGTCCCATATCAAAGTGCGCATCTGAAGCGCTCGGACGTCGGACCGGTCTACGGAGAATTGTTCTTGTCGCCTAGCAACTGTGACTGACAGCTGCCGATGACGAGCGGGAGTAACGCTACGTTTGCACTGGACTTTTTATATTCAACTGGTTTTAAATATTCAATAGGGTTGACAACCTGTATAATTATATTCACCATGGTCCATTTCTGTGCACAATAAAAAAGAATACACTAGCCTACAAAATCGCATCAAGGTATAGGCTACGATAGGTATAAATGAACATTTGAATATATATAGCCTAGGCTAGGCTATATATGTGCCTATGTATATATTTTTTTCTTTTCATATTTCATTACATTATTTATGTAAGTTAACACCCAATACTTGAACAGTTTAAAGTGTAATCTGGCCATTCAGGACGCAGCCTCTAAATTGGGACGCAGTAAACCAGCTCTGGCCAACTCTTGGGTAAGCCGAAAATACATGACTCAGCGGCGCCGGGGCTGAAACATCCTCCCATGCAGAGGCGTAGCCATGTAGCCTCAGATTTCTGATTGCTAAAAAAAAAAAAAAAACTTTAGGAGGCAATTTTTTTTTTAGTGATTATGTGAATTACACTCCGCAAACCAAAGTAATACTTCCCACCGGATGAAGAAGGGTTGGCTCTCAGTCTCCACAGTATATAAAATATTCATTTTATTTTATTTTATTTTTCGTGTTCGCATTTATGAGGAAAAAAACAATGTTGCGGACGTGTTCTCCGTTACGGACGTGAGCGCTCTGAAAGCGGCACTAAAAGATGCTTTAAAACTTTCACAGGGACATCAAACTGAAAGCACAAAACCTTTCTTTAACCTGAATTTCGTTTTGTATTAATTGTATCTTAATTTTAATCAATGTTTCATCAACCAATTGCCTGGATTTAATAAATAAGAAGTAAATACAGCAGACGATAGATAACCCCGGATTTCCACCAACTGCAGAACGGCAGCGGATCTGCTCCGCTGCGTGTCGGATCCGTGCTCCGCAGTCCTTCAATACCTACCAGATCCGGATTTGTTGCGGAACATGACTGACAGGTGAAGTCACGAGGACACACGATATCTCGCGAATTTCTGTTTGATCGCACGATATAACAGGATGTAGTTTCTATAAACAGAACCACAAAACAAGCAACAGTTTGTTTCCATCCAGAGGAGTACAGGGGAAACAACTCTGTGCTGACCTGCTGATCTCCCTTTTTTGTGGAGATTATTGTGATTCTAGTACAATATTTATAACTATATAATCAACTTATAAAATGCTAAATGTTTATTTTGGGTTCCTTTTTGAATGTGTAAATAAAGTTAACTATTGTTCTTGTTGGAAATGGAAAAAGTATACTTTTACTTAGAAAATTACCGGATGTTTTATTTTGTTTCTGTGCTTGACTTCCTGCGGCGCTCTCCGGCATCGGGCAAAAAATAGAAACTGTATCTGCTCCGGAGGGCTGCGGTCGCCACGCCACGCAGCTGAGACGCTTACGCCACGCAGCCAGTGTGTACCCCAATTTCCACCAACTGCGGAACGGCTGCGGATGCGCTCAGGAACGGCGGCGGAGTCAATAGGTTTCCATTAAAGTCAATGTGTGCATTTTCACTGAATTCGTTCCGACTCCGTCCCAGCTCCGGCGACCGCAGCCCTCCGGAGAAGATACGCAGAGTTTCTATTTTTACCGGATGCCGGAGAGCGCCACAGGAAGTCGAGCACAGAAACTAAATAAAACATCCGGTAATTTCCAAAATAAAAATATAGTTTTCCCTTTTCCAACAAGAACAATAGTTAACTTTATTTACACAGCCTACTACTTTCCCAATCGGGAACACCTGGTTGTGCAATTAGGAAATCCTACGAAGGCTACATGGTGCGTCCTTCTAAGGACGAATAGGCTGCATCCTTCGAAGTCCGCGGCCTTCGAAGGATGCAGCCTTAACATTGGGACACAGTTTATGGGTGACGTCACTGACGCTTTGTCCATATTTTTTACAGTCTATGGCAGGGACACGTTTTTGTGCATTTTATTTTGTGATTTCACAGGAATGAATAGAGAGTCTCTGCAACTGCGATAGATTGAAGAGCGCGTCCGAGTGAAGACTGCGAGCGCCACCACAAGAGACACTATGTATCCATGACACTAATAGCAGCGGACACAAGCGCTCAGCTTGAGTTCAAAAACACATTTTAGCGCTAGATCTCTTATTTAATGCAAAAAATGCACACTATGCAAGATTTGTACCTTAATATAACAGCTTCAAAGGGGTATCAGGCTGTGAGGGCAGAGACCAGTCTATGGCAGAGACGCTCTGCGTGAGTGGTATTTACGACAGTAACATTAAATACAAGTACTCCACAGCGACTCTAGGGGTCGCTGTTTGACAAAAACGGAATTCCTGCATAGTGTGCCTTTAATATTTTTGTGGAAAACATTGTTTAGGATGAAAAATTTTCTGTTTCTGAAAAAAAACTTCTTTTTTGTTTTATGTGTCCTTTCTGTATAAAAGTGTTACCACCCCAAATCTTACTGCCCTAAATGGATGGTACTGTTATAATATACACTTTACTATAAATAAATTATATATATATAATGCATATATTTATCAATTTGTATATAAATAAAAGTATCTATTTTAGATATTGTATCTGGTCACAGTGTCTTTTTTTAAGGTAATTTGAGTAATTTTTTGGCTTTTTTACTGTTCAATTAAATAGTTCTGTGGTGTAACAAGTCAAATTTTAAAATGTTATAAAACTGTATTCATAAAATAAGAAATGTTGTTTTAAGTGCTTTTACATTAAGTACAGTGCATTTTTAGGAGAAAACATTACTTGAAAGCTTTTCTGATTGCATTGGCAGCCAGTATTTCTTTACAAGTGGTCATGAACGCCTGCTGTTTCTCATAATAGGCAGCCTCATTAATAAACGTGGGGTATACTGTGCTGGCACCTTCATAAAGGATTGTTCTCCCATCGAAAGTTAGGAACATAGGGTCACCCTGGTTCAAAGGCTCCCAATCACAGTCCTACACAGAAAGAGAAAGAAAAAGGAAAAGGAATAGGGTCATTACTGTGGAAAACAAGTGAAGCCTGGAAGTCAAAACAAGCACAGCAAACATCTGAGTCATAGGACACATTTTCTTACACGTGTTTCCCCTCTCTCTGTCCCTGTCATAAAGAGCAACTCTTTTATACATCGCTCAAGGACATGCATTTTCCTTTAATAAAAAACATGCTTCTGTATGCATTTACTAGATGGTCCATTTAGAATACCTGTAGATGAGGATGCACCATAGCTGTGATGTTGCCGTTGGTGTCCCTGGGGTAGTCCATTCTCTCCTGGACTCTGAAAACTTCCACTGTACATGGAGGAAACTCCACACCTACGACAGGTTAAAAAATCATGGAAAATGAAATGATTCTCTTAAGAAAAAGGAAAAAGAGACATCACTCTTTGGGGAAAATTCAGTCATTCCAAACTGCCATGACTTTCTTTCTTTCCCTTTTTTTTGTGTGATTATTTATTTATTTATTGCAAGGTTGAACATGGTCCACATGTGCGACCACAAATAACTATATACAAGACCAGGGTTTGCTTGTAAAATAAAAAAGAAAATAAATTATAATAGATAAATAAATAAATTAGGGGGTGGATTAACAACACCAGCACAGCTCCAGGATTTCCACTGCTCCTCCTTGATAACGTTCAGAAGCAATCAGTACGGGTGGCCTATAGAGTTATTAAATGAGATAGTTTTGTAACAAATTCAGTCCAGGTCTTAAATTTTTTTGGTTTGGCATTGTTAATTCTCGCTGTAGTGAGTTCTAACAGCGCAATGTATTTAATTTCTGTGAGCCACAATTTGCCTGCTTGAGTTTTCATTCAACAAACATCATCATTCAACTCATCATCATTCAACAAACAGACACTGGGGTGCTTAAAGATAACCTTATCACATAGTTCTGTCACAAATTGAAATACCACATCCCAAAAGTTACCAATATGTTGGCACTCATAAAACATGTGCATATAGGTACCCACAGTATTTGAATTACAGAGTGAGCAGAAGGGGGTAGACTTTCTTTCTTACAGTATGTGGAACACAAACGTTTAAAAAAAATTTTTTCCAGGCATTCAGTAGCCTCGCACTATGGACTCACAGATGGATTTTCCTAAAAATCTTTGTTTGTGTTTATCTGAAGAAAGAAAGTCAAATAAATCGGGGATGGTATGAGGGTGAGTAAATGATGAGAGAATTTTCGGTAACACTATTTTACAGTGTCCTTGTTACATGCAGCCTACATGCAACTTCTGTTTTGGTTTCGTTTTCATTCTGTTCCCTGTGCTGCTTTTCCTGAGTTCTGTTTGCTAGTTAGTTTCTATGGTTTCTGATTGGATTACGTTCACCTGTTGTTAAGTTAGTCTCCTATTTATACCATTAGTTTCCTCTGTTCCTTGTAATGTGTCGTGTTTAAAGTGGTTGTGTTATTTTGCTTACTCCTGTAATTTTCTGAGTATTTCCGAGTGTCCGAATTTAAATTTAAAGACTATTTTGTTTCTTGGATTCTCCAGCGTTGCGCGCTTCCTTACAGCCAGACCTGACAATGCAATTGACAATAGATTATATAAACATATATTAGCTGGCATAGCTAACATTCCTTTAGCCACTGGAGGTTGCTGGCATGGTCTTGAGCCTTTACTTTGTATAGATCAGCCCTCCATTCGGCTTGGTTTTGAGCTGCCTGGGTCCAGGAGTTTGTTGCTAAAATCTATCTTCAAAGCAGCTTTACAGGGATAAACAGAAAAATAATAATTCAATAATGCAAACAGAATTTAATTCTGCTGTAAAGCAGCTTTTAAAATAAAATAAGTGTCAGTGATCAGCTGAGGTCAGTTTGGTGTTCAATCAGTTCAGTTTAGTACTGTTTTTAATATGAAATGAGTTGAATTCAGCTATAAAGCAGCTCTGTAGAAAACAATGATGTCATTGTCCTGCTGTTACATGTGTGTCCTGTGTTTCCCCCGTTCTTTGTGTATTTGGCTCAGTCCTGTTTCTATTTTCCCGCTCCTCGATACTGTTTAGTTAATTCACCTGTTTACCTGTCATTATCAGTTCATTTGCCCCAGCTGTGCCTTGTTTCCCCATTCTGTTCTATGTGTACTTTAAACCCTGTGTTCTCCCTCACTCCTGGGGCCTGTTCTTCGTACGTCGCTAACTCAGTTAGCTGGATTTGATTGTTGGCGATTTGGCATGATCTTGGATTGTTTGGTTCTTCGACGCTCATCCTGGACTTGCTGTCATAGCAACAGGTGCGCCAGCTTGAACCTGCTCGCGAGCAGGCTTATTTCATCTTAACAGGATTAGATCCAATGGTTCAATCCAGTGGTTCAATCTCCAACCAGCATCTGTAAGAAAAAGACTTATATTATTATAATTCCATCATCGGCATTAACCAATATTTCCTCTTCTGTTTGTTTCTGCACCTGCTGTGTGACCAATAAAGTGTTTTTGGACTAACTTACCCTCTCATTCAGTGTGTATATCGTGACAGAAGGCTAGAACAACGCTAAGATGAATCCAAGAAATATTGATCCATTCAAGGAACCAGCTGAGACTATGAAAAAGAACTTACCGGTCACCACCATCCCTTCCCAAGAGCACACTTCCTCACCGATCTTGTCACAGTGTCTGGGTGATGTCCCCTGGGTAGCCACTAGAGGTCCTCTTCCCCCACAGGTGTCAGTCACTATTGGACTACAATCCCCATCACCCTTGTCGGACTCATTATTCATTATCACACTCAGCTGTTCCCACTCACCTGGTTAGTGTCTGTCTATTTATACCCTGTCTGTTTAATCACTTGTTCTGGAATCCTTGTTTGATGTCACCCGCTTCCCAGAGTCTGTCTTGATTTGGTTTAGTGTTTATTTCTTGTTTTTGGACTGCTTACATGGACCTTGACCTCTTGCCTGTTCCTGGATTTATGATTACGGATTACCCAATAAAACTGCACTTGGACTATCACCCTTTTTGTGTGTGTGTCGTGACAGAAGGATTCCAGCAATATGTATAGATCCAGCAGTACGGGTTTTCGTATCTGTCCCCCAACCACTGAGAAGGAGAGGAGGGGACGATTTAGTAACAGCCCTACGTCAGCAGGGACAGACGGTGGGTTGCCTGTCTCAGGCATTTTGGACGCTCTCGAGAGGCATGGGTTATAATGATGCTACCCTCAAGGATCTTTTTAACAGCTGCCTGGATGATCCCTTGCCTCGATGGGAGATGGAAGGGCTGGAGATCCTGGATTTTTGGGGTTTTACCAGTTACCTTATACATCGGAGCCAGTGGGATGTACCAGAGCCTCGCCATGCCGACGCCGCCCCGAGTCCCGTGGTCTCTGTTCCGGTGGTCTCTGTTCCGGTGGTCTCTGTTCCCGTGGTCCCGAGCCCGGTGGTGTCTGTTCCGGTGGTTCCAGTTCCGGTGGTCCCGAGTCCGGTGGTCCCAGTTCCGGTGGTCCCAGTTCCGGTGGTCCCAGTTCCGGTGGTCGCAGTTTCGATGGTCCCAGTTCCGGTGGTCCTGAGTCCGGTGGTCCCAGTTCCGGTGGTCCCGAGTCCGGTGGTCCGGAAACGGAGGAGGAGGAGAAAGGTCTCCTCAACAACTTGTCCGGTGGCCCCTAACCCAGAGACCATCCCGGAGGTGACTGCCATCCCTGACGCACCGCCCAGGCGACTTGCTCTGCCCGCGCCGCCCAAGCATCCTGCACTGCCGGCCCCGCCCGAGCTGCTCGCCCTGCCGGCCCCGCCCGAGCTGCCTGCCCTGGCCGCCCGAGGGAAAGTCTCCGCCGTGGCCGCCCGAGGGAAAGTCTCCGCCCTGGCCGCCCGAGGGAAAGTCTCCGCCCTGGCCGCCCGAGGGAAAGTCTCCGCCCTGGCCGCCCGAGGGAAAGTCTCCGCCCTGGCCGCCCGAGGGAAAGTCTCCGCCCTGGCCGCCCGAGGGAAAGTCTCCGCCCTGGCCGCCCGAGGGAAAGTCTCCACCCTGGCCGCCCGATGGACTGTCATTTCTGCCATGGCCGTCCGGTCGACTGTCGCCTGCTTCGCCCTGGCCGCCCGATGGACTGTCGTCTCCGTCTTGGCCGCCCGATGAGCCGTCTGTTTTGCCCTGGCTGTCCGTTAAGCCGTCAACTCCTGTTTCTGTTCCCTTCCATGGACCTGGCCCCCCATCCCTCCCCCTGATCCTCCTTTCCACCTCCCTCCTGGACTCTTGTTTGGTTTGTTTTTTGTGGGTCTTGGAGCGTCTGGTAGCCGCTCCGTAGAGGGGAGGTTATGTCACAGTGTCTGGGTGATGTCCCCTGGGTAGCCACTAGAGGTCCTCTTCCCCCACAGGTGTCAGTCACTATTGGACTACAATCCCCATCACCCTTGTCGGACTCATTATTCATTATCACACTCAGCTGTCCCCACTCACCTTGTTAGTGTCTGTCTATTTATACCCTGTCTGTTTAATCACTTGTTCTGGAATCCTTGTTTGATGTCACCCGCTTCCCAGAGTCTGTCTTGATTTGGTTTAGTGTTTATTTGTTGTTTTTGGACTGCTTACATGGACCTTGACCTCTTGCCTGTTCCTGGATTTATGATTACGGATTACCCAATAAAACTGCACTTGGACTATCACCCTTTTTGTGTGCGTGTCGTGACAGATCTTCGTTGCCAGTCCCATGGTCAACCCTACTCTGGCTTGGTGGAGGACTGCAATGGCTTTCTTCTGCATTGTTCATTGGCGCTCGAAATGCCACCGAAGTGATTTCCCACAGTACATTCTAAAATCTCTTTTGTTCTCTTTCTGTTAACAGGAAGAGCCTTGCAGTAGGCCGAAACCATCTGGAATCAGTCAAGTCCTATCACTCAGTCCATGAACAGTTCTGTGGCCCATTTTAGAGAGGTGTTCGGATGGCTGATAGGCTGATTCCTCCATATGTGATCAGTTATATCATATTCGTCAAGGAAAGAGCTCCGTGACTGATTGTGCCTTGAGATTCCGAACCCTCACTGCATCTAGTGGCTGGAATGAACACGCACTGAATCCGACTTATCGACAGGGTCTCAATCCTGCGCTGCAGTTACAACTTGCCATCTATGAGGACACCATAGGACTAAAAAAATTCATTCAGCACTCAAAACCCTCCGAACCAGAGTCCGAGCCCATGCAAGTGGATAGTACTGTTTATCTCCCACTGAAAGATTCCGTCGGCTGACACAGAATCTGTGTTTATACTGTGGAGCTGGAGGACATTAAATCTCCACATGCTCTGTTCATCCGCCTCGTCCCATGGTAAGTTCAGTTACCAGTCCTTCTATCAAACTTACTCCATTAACCACTGAAGTGAC